CACATTCTGTCACACTCTGTCTCTGTCTCTGTCTCTGTCTCTTCCTCCCTCCCCCCTCCCTCCCCCCACTCCCCCTCTATTCCTTCTCTCTTCTCTTCTCCTCTCCCCCCTTCTTCTTTCCTTCCCTCCTCTCTATTCCCTCCTCTCTCTCTTCTCTCCTCTAACTGTTCCTTCAGATCTTCAATTGCGACGACGCGGAGACTGTCGGGGAGGACGAGATGCTGCTGCGAGCTGCTGCCAAGCATGCTACCTTTGTGAGAGTTTGCGGGATGACTGTCATTTCCCTGACCCTTCCCAGCTGCTGATGGAGCTGATCCGCGACCAACTCGCCCACCGCAACCTCCAGCTCGTCGAGCGCTACAAGTCGCTCTTCCGCAGCGCCCTGACCCTCTCCCAGGCATCGGGCAGGCAGTTCCTCAGGGTGAGACCCGACCGTGCCCAGCTCTGCTCCAGCTGACTCTCATGCAGGACCTCGCGACCCTCCACTCTCAGCTTTCGTCGTCGTCGGGCAGCTGCGCGACTTGAGCTGAACGAGCACGAGAGCTCTTGCTCACAGGTTAGACGTGGGAGAGATCGAGGAGGGAGCGGAGGCGTATACACACATATCAACCTGTAGAAGAGACCAACGCTCATGTACAACAAAAGTATTTAGAGATTGTTCACTTTAATCCACCTAGAGCTCTTCAAAACCTCCATTAACGTCCTCAGTCTGTGGTCATGGCATCTCCCTCGGCAGCAGCGGGAGCGTCGGGCTCAGAGTGGGTGATCTCCGAGAACATGAACTCATTCTGGTGCTCCATCATGAACTGAGTGCTTCTTTTGACATCGCTGAACAATCCGTAAACCTTCTTCACGTCCTCCACCGTCACCTCGGTCCCTTTCCGCTTCGCACAAACGAGGGAGGACACGGTAATCATGTGGATAGCATAGCGAAGAGATGCGTCCACGGCGATCTTGGTGAGGAGGTCCTTGGCATCCTCCGTCATCTCCACGTCCTCCTCTTCGCATCGGATGTTGAGGATCTGAGCTAGCTCCTTCTCCGAGTACGGCTGCGTTGAGATGATGAGAAGACGATCTAACAAGTCGATGGGCATCCCGTGTGGTCCCTTGTAGTTCGTTCCTCGGATTCTTGTGATGCCTCTGTTGGTAGCAAAGACAAGGATGGGAGCCATGGGGCTCTCAAGCGCACGGTTCAGGAAGGAGTAACACTCCACGTCCAGCATGTGGACCTCGTCAATGAAAAGGACGCCAGGGACGATTTCAGCCTTCCCCTCTTCTCTCCACTCAGACACCTTCTGATCTATTTGTTCCCTGATTTCCTGCTTGATTTCACCTGTATCTCCAGCAAACAAGGCTAGAAAGCCTTGCGCGCGGCTGTTGATAACATCCATTTCATGCAGAGAGACCGTGTGCACCACTTCCTTACGCTTCTGGAGCTCGCCCTCAGGACACTGAACGAACTTTGTTGAGGATCCCATGGCATCGTAGTCTCTAGCCCGAGCAAAGGAGCGACCGAGCTTGCTGATCTTACCGCTAGCCTTGTCTATGGTAATAACGTCTCCTGCTTGGACCTTTTCCTTGATGAGGCCCTCGATCATCTTGGTGCCCAAGTCATAAATAGTCTCCATCTCAGTCGTTTTGAGCGTCAGCTTGCCACGTTTTTCACCATTCCCGCTAGCAGGTTTGTCGATTTGAATCTCCACCACTTCTCCCTCAATAATCTCTGTCTCCTCCTTTATCCTGACTCCGATCGAGCGACGGAACCCTTGGGTCAGCGCTTCTGTGCGAGACATTTCGAGGGAGTAGATCTCAGAGCCAGACAACATCGTGAACGGAGTATCAGTGCCCAACGCCTGAGCCATACCCATCGCTATGGCTGTTTTACCCGTTCCAGGCTGACCGGCGATGAGAAGAGCACGTCCAGCGATTTTCCCTTCCTGGATCATCTTCAAAATTACACCAGCTGCTCTGCGTGCCTGGAGCTGGCCAACCATACCCTGCAAACTGAGCGGTCAGAGGGGTCCTGCCAATCGCGACAACAAGAGAACATGCCTGAGAGACTACACGGGCATCCAACGTATCGTCCAAACCGAGCCCTCTGATGTGAGAATGGGCACCTGTCATCGTAAGTGTCAGGCAACGGGGGTGTACGTAGCTAAATCTCACCGATTCGTTCGATACGGGTAACATCTTGCGATTCTGGTACTTTGGCGGTCGCCTACAGTTCCATGTAAGATCGCACAGCTAGAGTGAAAACCAGGGTAGAAACAGATCGCACTTACCATCGTAGGAGAGTGCCGTCCGGGTGAGATACAACCACTTGACTGCTCTGAATGGCCCCTGCACAAGGCAAACAATGAGCTTGCTTCAAACGTTGTCCGTGTCTACGTTAGATGATTCGCGCCAAAATTCAGGGAGATAATCGCTGTACAACATCATCCACCAAGCACACAGAAGATAATTGAGTATGACTTTGTGCTTTTTTAGCCGTTGGTGGTCATTCCAACTGCTCGCTCTCGAAAACATCGATTCGCAACAGTAATGGCAAAGTGAAGCTACATAAGCATTAAAGACACGCATCTATCTTATAGTAACGGTTATTGCCCCTGCTCTTCCTTTCACCAAAGTGAGCAAGCAGGCAGGCTGAAGGGCTTTTGTGCGATGACCGGGAGAAGGACACGTGCTGAAGGGCTTTTGTGCGATGACCGGGAGAAGGACACGTGACAGCATACAACAAGACAAGAGCAGCATGAGGCTATGAGCTGAAGATCTTGGAACGATCATGATGAGTTGAAGAAGGGAGAAAACACAACAGCAACATGTTGGACGGCCACATGGCTAACGCAGGCGCAGCAGCGGCATGCCAGAGGAGGGGCGGGAATTCTGCAGGACCCTACCCACACAAGAACCCTACCCACGAATGCATTACAGTACCCCTTCACTGTACCCCCGGACAAGTATCCCACCTGATCATATCTCTCAATGTACCTACCCACAGTATTATTTACCCTACCCCAACGATTTTTCACCCTCAAAAATTACCAAAAAGTACCCCCAAAAGGACCTTGTTGTGAACTTCAGGACCTATCCTGATCAAACGGACCCACCTTCTCTCGGACCCCCACCTACTCTCTCGACAAAGTACCCTCAATCCACCTCCAAATAAATCCACCCACCCTGTGAAAGCATAGCGATCCTCACGTTCTTCTGTGATGCAGGGGTAGGGTATCGCCAGTACCCACCAACCGAAACTGAAAGGGATGGAGAGGGTATACCCCTTCATCATCACGCTATACCCCCCCTTATCCCTATAATGATAACTGAATTGAACGGGTGTTAAAGTACCCCTACCTACCAGGAAAAAGGATGCTTCTGAGATGCAAGTTCTCCCGCTAGAAAACTGCAAGTGCCAGGCCATTCAGCTAGTCATGGAGTTCTAGATTCGGCCGGGCCACCCGGTCACCGCACGGCAGTGTCACCCGAGTCACAGCCGCTGAGCACGGTCGGCTTAGACCAAAACTTGAATTAGACCGTCACTCTGCATACACAGGCTCAGGAGTCCGACCGTCTGCACTCACGGAGGCTCTGCACTGGCCAGGCCCGGGGCCCGGCCTTTCGAGTTGCCAGGCTCAGTCACCGGGCGAACCGTTCCGAGAACTCGGAAGCGGCCCGGCCCTTGCGGGGCGGCGGCGCCTGCGTGACTTGTTAACTTGAACCGTGTGTCCGGTGACGCCCGATCACTGAAGCTTGAAGGAAACTCGGAATACTACCGGAACTTAGGCTCAGTGAAATGTTGAATCGCAGCCTGGCACCCGGCATCAGAAGACTGGCAGATGATTACAGTAAGGTGACTCAGTCTCGTGGCAATGCAACGGACTGCAGTGAGCCCCGGGTACCGGGCCCGAGTCAGGGCCCGGCGGCCCAGTGACCGGCCCGGCACCGGGCCGGGCCCGTCGGCGTCACTCACAGTGAGACCCCGGCCCCGGGACCGTCCTACTCTATTCAAGGCTTTATCACCCGTCGTCAAAGAGACCATACCGGTTTATCTGTGGTAAATACTAGGGGTAGGGGTGGTGTAAAGACCCTCAGAAACAAGGACCCCCCACTTTGAGGTATAGTACCCTACCGAACTCATTCTCCCGGCCGCAGGCGGTGGGAATGGCGTCCTAGTGTGTCGAAGCGGAGGGAACGGGAAGGAAGCGACGATGGAAAACCATCGGCGTTGAGGAGAATGAGAGAGAGGAAAAAGTAGCTGGTCTGTCTTTCTGCCGGGACGAATTCTGGGGACCATGAAGGAGGGAGGAGGGAAGTTGCTAGGCACAAAGTCAAGAGGCTTCCGATAGTGGCTTGCTCTACTGATGCTGAGGAGCGAGAGTGGCGTCTACCAAGTTACCTCTCGTGAGTTCGAGTGATTTCCTTGTGGAAGATCTGTTCCTTATGCCGTCTCACGTCCGAATTTTGGGGCTTCGAGGCAAGGCCCCGCGCGGTGACCCCGAGCACAACAAGTCCATGCTTCAATACTCCTCTTCTCGATATGATACCACGGCGAGCTCGGGGATGACGACTCTTCTCCTCTTCTGTCTCTTTGCACACGTGTCCTGGGCATTCCATTCTGTAACTACCCCTGCGACGTTCAGCGCACCGGGGCCGCACAGAGGCTTGCAACACTTGCGTTGCACCTCCATGCGGCGCCGGTACCGGCCGAGAGTTGACATGAGGGCGGTCTCCTCAGAGGTTCAGAAGACAGGCGATGCAGAGAATCATGAGGATCGCTCTAGTTCGAATCACACAGCGACGCTGAGGCGACCATGGACTTGGACCTCGGTGACCGGCGTTGTTGGGAACGCGGTGCAAGGGATCCAGACTAACTATTCTTTCTCCTTCTGGCCCAACTCGACCATATCGATCTCCCCTGTCAATCCCGTGAACTGGACGGGGAGGAGCTTCATTCCAGGGGTCGGTTACGTCACGAGGACTTCAGGCAATCTGTGGAGAAACGCTGTAAACTGGACTCTCGGGAGGCGGAGCAGGCCCATTCCTGTTCGATCAGTGTCGGAGCTCGAGGGGCTCTTGAAGCAAGGCGTCTCGATACATCGCATGGACGTCAGGGGAAAGTCGCAACCCTGGAGGCAGAACGAAAGGGGCGAGCTGCTGGAGGCTTCCCTGGAAGAGCTCATCTCGGAGGGCAGGGCGGACGGTCGAAAGCGACAGTTCCAGCACCCTGTGCTGCGTGCGATCTGGAACCGAGTGAGAGAGAAGTCGAAACCTGGGGCGAGGACGGACAACTACAAGATTGCTCTTGCGATCGAGGGGGGGGGCCTTCGGGGGAGCGTCCCAGCAGGGATGGCAGCGGCGATTTCTTACCTGGGGCTCGGAGATGCGTTCGACATGGTGCTGGGATCGTCCGCTGGCTCCATCATAGGATCCTACTTTGTCGCGAGAACCGATGCCGACAGTCACTGTCAGATCACCTACGAGTTCTTCTGCAACCATCTGACGACGTCGAGGGAGAAGCTCAACGGGACGAACTGGCTCGACATGGGGAGGCTCATCGATTTGTTTGCACCTTCTTCCAACCAGCAATCCAAGAGTGCGGTGATGGTGATGTCCCTCATTCCTTGTTGTTGCTCCGTGCAAGTCTGATGCTCTCTGGCAGGTCCTGGACTATCCCATGAAGACCATCATGCAAGAGATGCTCCCGGTCAACTGGACCTCTTTCAAGGCAAGGAACGACAGGCAGCCTCTGAAAGTGATCGCGACAGGGCTGTTCTCGGAGGGACCGGTTGTTCTTGGCTCCGAAGAGGGGAGCTTTGATGACCTGGCATCCCTCTGTGAATGTGTCAAGGCTTCCTGCATGCTGCCTGGGGTAGCTGGAGTTCAGCCCCCGTGGCTGAAGGGAAGCTCGGCCAAGAGTCAGGATCAGCTGAGAAAGGGGCACGAGAAGTGGCTCAAGCAGGAGCTGAGCCGATCGATCTGGGCACGTGCGAGGCAAGCATTCATGAAGCAGGTGAGCCTGCGAGCGGTGGATGGTGGTTGAGAGGTGAAGGAAATCGCAGGTCAAACAACGTCGGCGAATGTCATGGGTTTTCGACCTGGTCAACCAGGGTGACCGCAGGACGAGGGAGCAAGAGGGCATCAACCACATGTACCTCTCCCTCCTGCTTCAGCGATGATGGAGAATGATTCTTGTTGTCGCAGGGAGATGAGGACTGCTCTAGAGGAGATCGGTCTCCGCCCCACAGATGAGGAGCTGGAGTACCTGTACAACAAGGCAGACTCCAACGGCGATGGCCTTCTTGACCTCCTTGAGTTTCGAGACATGGTCTACTGGCTGGTCGCTCAGGACGCTTGGATCAAGAACGATGGCTTCGGCCTGTCCGACATGGAGCCCATGGTGGACGCTCTCGTCTACGAGCCCATCCCCTACAGGTCGGCGATCGACTACGGCTGCACCCACGTCCTGGTCCTCCGGTCGTTCCCCGACGGCAAGCCGATGCCCAAGAGCCTGCTCGGACTCTTCGAGCGGCTCGTAGCTCCCAAGTGCCTCGATCCGTTTCCCAGCGTCAAGTATCACCTTCAGAGCGCCGGGCACTCCGTCATCTACGCCAGGGATCTCCTCCGCCTCAACGAAGCTGTCTCTCCACCGAGCACGGACCCGGATGACGTTCAGGTCCGTTGAGGTCGCGTTGCATCCGTTCTGACTCCCGGGGCAGATGGACGATGCGCGAGACGTCGGGAGGATCATCGCGGTCCAGGCGGCCAACTGGGCTGGGATCTCGTCCATGGAGATGTTTGACGCCATGCACCCGATGCCTTCCTCGACTCACTTGTTCGCCGTCGCCCCTCTTGACACGGACGGAAACGTGAGGAGGTGGAAGGGAATGTCTGGAGACGTTGACCCCGGTCGCAGGCCTTGTCGTCCCTGGAGCTCAACCGAGATGCTCTCTTGCGAGGGATCATGCAAGGATTCGCTCGAGCCTACGATGTCTTGGTCCCTGATGACCATCCGAGTCATTCATCAGGCGATCAAGTGGCCAAAGAGATCTTTCTCCCCATCCACTACCGCTTCCTGCATCAACTCTCTGAGCAGGTAAACACGTTCCGTGGCCCTTTCTTTGTCTTGTATGCTTCATCCTATTCTTCGTGGCTTCCCTTGATGGCCTAAACCTCTTCTCTCCCCTGCTGTATCATCGTCGACGAGCAGCTGCTCACCAGCAAGCAGGACTCCTCGGTCAAGAAGGGGACGCAGCTCTTCACCGTGTCTGGGTCGCAGACGGCCAAGGACATCAGGGATTCCCCTAGGTACGACGGAGAATGGGGAGAAGTTTTGATGCTTACCCTGCACCACAGCGGGGAGCGGGTGGGCAAGGCGGTCCCGTCGGCGTGGGAGGAGGGTGTGCACTACAAGATGGCGTCGTCGAACAAGCTCGAGCACAACGAGCTGGTGGTGGTGCAGCGCAGCGACGGGTCCCTGCGGTTCGCGCAGGTGGAGGGCTTCGTCAAGGGGTCCTGCATCCTCCGAGTGGGTACCAGCGCAGATAAGGGAGGCATCCTCTTCCGGATGGAGCCCGTGGAGAAGGTAGGGAAGATCTGCGTGGAGGAGTGGACATGGGATCAGCAGGAGGAGGGAAGGTTCTGGTCGTTCCCATGGAGATGGAACGCTGATCACCAGCTGCAGCGGAGCCCTCCGGTGCGGTGGAACCTGAGGCCCTGGGTTGTAAATAGGAGGGAGAAGAAGAACACCAGCGCGACGGGAGTGGAGCGATGACGCTGGCAGCTTCAGGAAGCAGGGCAGGAGGTACGTCATTGCGAGCGGCAAGACGGGGAGCTGGACTGAGCTGGAGCTGGACTGAGCTGGAGTCCGGGTGGCAGGGGAGGAGAGGCAGCCGGGAGCAAATTTTTGGTTTCTTATGAATTTGGCCTTCAATATTCTTGCGATGTTTTAAACACGGTTTTAAAAGTCGCGAGCGCGCCCCTCACCCCAGCGAGCTCTCATTGGGAACAGCTCCCTTGCAGAGCTTCATGAAGTACTTCTGCGCATGCGTGCGCACCTGGGTGACGCTCCTGGTCCCCACGTAGCTCGCGATGTCCTGCGCGTTCCCGTAGCCGAAGATCTTCATGGCCTCCAGGAACCGCTCGTGCTCCTGCTCCGTCCAGAACCTCGAGCGGCTCTGCCCCTCCGGCCCCTTGGGGCTCTGGAGCTTCTTCCCCTGCCCGCTGGCATTGCTCTGCATGCCCAAGGAACTGGTAGAGGACACTCGGGAGAGGCCCTGCATATCGAAGGCGGAAGGGTTGGCGCAGTCTCCGTAGGGGAGGGACGACAAATCGATCCCTCCTGGCAGAGCGTCGCTCGTCCTCGCGCTGAACTCATTTTGCTGGGACGGCTGATGAGGCTGCTGTCGCAGGAAGTTCCTGACGTCCAACTCCCCCGTGGCTGCGAACTCGGCTCCCAACGAGGATCTCATCCCCACGTCAACCGCGGGCATCGCGTACCCCTGCCGCCAGCTCCCATCGCCCTCCTGTGCGAACGCCCACCAGTCTGCCGTCGGCATGCTCATATCCCCTGCCGGCCCTCGCTGCCTATCGCTTCCCTGCAGCTCTCGGAGGGCTGCATGCGCCGTGCTGAGCTGGAACGAAAGCTCCTGCACTTTGGCACGAGAGTTCTCCAGCTGCATCTTGAGAGTAGAATTTTCTCTGCTCAGCTCCATCGTCATCCGATGGAAGATAGCATCTACTTCCTCTCGGCTGCCCTGGTTCCCGAAGTTACTTCCTTCAGCCCTTCCTAGTTGCCCTTCCGGTCCATCCACACTTCCTTCTCCCTTCCCCAACTCCATGGGCGTCGTGCTGGGCTTCCTCTTTCCAAGCTTCCCATCGTCTTCGTCCTCGCCGGACATTTGCGAGAAGTTGGAGGCAAATGGTGAGATCCTTTCCTCGATCTCGAATTCTGATTGGCCCATAGCAGCCTTCTGCTGCTGCTTCAGAGCATGCTTCTGAGCTGCCGCCTGCCACGAGCTGACAATCGCAGCCCCACCTACAAGGACGTTGTCTCCTCTCGACTTCTTGAGCGATTGAGGGAACGGCTGCACATCGCTAAAGTGGTCACCCTCTGCCCCACTGTCGGAATGAAATCAGAATGTGGCAACGAGTCAAAAGGCATCTCTGCACAGAGAAGGAGGAGGGAGAAGAGCTACAGAGATGAAAACATCACAATCGGGTCACGGAGGACGTTAACCACCCATAGACGCCCATCCTCCCTCTCGAACAGCAACAGCGCAGGCCGAGGTATGAACCAACAAACACCACGAGAACCACCTGATATGCCTTGGGATGGGTACCCTCGGGTAGGACAATTCCATGTTCGCGTCCAAGTTGGTGCCATTCGAGTACATCTCGTCAACTGCGTTATCCAGCTTGTACGCCAAACCAAGAGATGGCGCCGAAGGACTCTGAACGGAGATCTGCATCATAATTTCGGGTCTCTATGTTGAGTAGTATTGTTCCATCCCACAACAAATTTCTGCACAAATGAAGGTAAGATTCTGGCAGAGAAAACATGAATCAAGCTTCCTAAGACTCTAAGTCATCAACAGTGCAAGATTCTTGCTCATTCATGCAGGAAATGGGCGCGCAAGTTCTAGCTAACAAGCCACTACCTCTCAAAAAAGTCTAGAATCGCAAAATACATTCTTCGCAATGGGTTTCAGAGAGTTCTGACCCAATTCTACTCTAACTTTGATGTTATCCAGGAACAGTGTGGCTTTGGCGACATTTTCACCCAGCGGCTTCGAGCCCCAGGCCCTGTCCCGAGCTCTTCCAGCAGCAACTAGCAACGTTCAGCTCTTCCATTTTTCACACGACGAACCCAATCATTATCGAATCTCCTTTCAAAACTCAACTTCCCCTGGTTGTCCCCCGCGTCCTTGAATGCCTTACTACACTCGTTACACCTTCCCTGTTCCTCCTGCTGCTGAACTGCACCTCCTGTACCACCTTTTCGTCTCCTGCTGCTTCTAGTCGCATTCATACACTACATTCCTCTCACCCCTGCCTCTCATCCTCTCGGCCTCCGTCCGCTGCATTCCCTACATCCCCTCCACTGTACTGCATCTCACGCCTCCAATTAGCACATGCCCCCACCTACATGCTCACCCCACCCCTATTCCTCCCATTGCCCCACCCCCACCTACACCAGGACATCAAACAACAGGAATCTTCTCCCACCCTCCAAACGACCACCCCCATCCAGTTTTCCACCCTTCATCTGACCACCGTCCACCTGATATACCCCTTACACCCACCCACCTCCAGTTCGGAGATGACCGATTACTACCCCTACCTACTCCAAAGTGTATTCGAGCTGCACCTTCTTTGCCATTTCAAAAGGACCCCTCCCTGCTAGTCTTTTGACCCTCGTTAAGGCCTTGAGACAGAGCTGAATCCGCACAGGACCCTCCCCCTTCCCGATCCCTACCCCTTTACAAACTCTCTAGTAAATCAGTACCCCAGTCCAAAGGGTCCACGATATACCCCCACCACCCAAATATTCTTGTTTGTCGGAAACAACCCACCCTACCGTGGGTAATGTTCCCATACCCCTTGTGAGGTTCAGATATCATCACGATCTCATGCACTACCCCACCCCCTCTACACCCAGGTCCTTGCCAGCCCCCACAATCTTGTTTTTGCCCCTGACGTTTAACCCCTTCTATTCACCTCTAAAGTACCGGTGATGAGGAATGGGGGGGCAAAGGGGGTGGGGAGGGAGATCTGACATGACCCGACCCATGCTGAGGGGGGTAAGGGGGATTAAGGTCCCAAACGCAGACTGATTACCACCCTACCCTACATTTGAAAAGACATCTGACGAGAAAAAGGTGGTACTCGTGAAAAGTTACCACCCACCATGGGGAAAACAGTAATAATGTACTCTCACCCCTACCATGCCTCATCGCCTCTCAAAAATGGACTACCCCTACACCGCATGTCTGACTCTCCTACCCTACCCCTCTCATCATAATCCGTTCATATCACCCCCATCTCAAGAGGATTCTACCCTACGTTTGCTCCATGAGCTTTCCTCAGCACCGGTACCCCAGTGGTAGTACCCAGGTATTCGAAACCCGTCGGGAAACGGGGCAAAAATTCAGAGGGGATAAAAACATTTTAAATCATCGATCGTTGCAAATTCGCATTGTTTGGTGATTCCCGTTTGGGTCATAGGCTGTCGTAAGATATCTTGGCCAAATGAGGGGGTGGGTGGCCATCAGTGAAAACTGTGACCAGGGGTACTGGTACAAACAAGTGGCCGGAATCGTGCAATACCCCTACATATATATACAGAGTACCCCGTCCTTTCCCCACTCTGTTTCCTATCTGATTGACTTCCGGATTCCTGTTTGCAGGTAATTTCTACCATCTATATCGGTGGAGGGGTAGAAGGACCGACAACCAGCAGTGCAAAGGGCAGGTGGGGGTGGTAGGAGCCATCCACATTTTATCTCACACGAGCCCTCTTTTTATGTGGTGATGCTGAAAAGTTGTCGTGGTGTCTACAAATGGGGGTGGTGCGAGGAGGTGGTGGGGTTAAAAAAGCATCCGAGGGGGTGGGGTATCGAGATTTTTCAAGGTTGTCATCATGGAAGGTGGACAGTCATCACGCGAGCTCACCTCAAGAATGTCCTCATCTTTGAAGCAAGGACAGCGAGGAGCTCCTCAGGAATTGATTAGTCACAAGGGGTTTCCGAGATGTGACCTCTTCTCTTAAACTTCAAGGGGGAATATTTGAATTGTGACCCAAAAGGTTCTAAAAGTTTTTAAACCATCGCAAGTCACGGGGCCTGTGACGTGAATTTTACCGTCTTTTTGTGACCCCTCTTATCACTAACGAACCCAGAAGCTTCAAGGGCACGGCGTTGGGTAGTGGTGGCTGCCGCCCCCGTTCCAGAGGACTCCAGAAGGAACGAGACCGTCTCTTTTGCAACCCATTCCATGATTCATCCGAATGAATGATTATCATAGTGCTTCCGGGCACTGCCGCGCCGCGCCGCCGGCCGGGCGGCCCGGCCGCCGGCCGCTCGGCGCAGTACCGGCGGCCCCCGGGGCCCTCAGTCCGGCGCCGGCGGCCGGGCCTCAGGCTCCGATTCGCGGACGTACTAGTGACCGTTCCGGTACGGTACGCCGGTACCGTACCGGGTCACTGTCACAGTGTGTGACCGTACCGTAGTACCGTGCAGACGGTTGACCGTTATCGAGTCACTGAGTCATGTGCGGCGGTGTAGTACACTCACGGTCGGACGGACTCGGAGCCTGTGAGGCTCCTGGCCGGGCCGGTTCTTTACTGTCGGTCAACTGCCATCACTCTCAGTCGGACCGTGACGGTCTCGAAGTTTGCGCTCGTCAGCTCCGGCGCGAGCTGAGACTGAAATGCTAGAGTCTGACAATGATGTCCGTACTACGGTACGGTCAGTCAGTGAGTGCCGCCGCCGGCAGCCTGGGCCGCGCCCGCCGCCGCGGGCATCGCCCGGCGGGGCCCCGGTACCCGGGCCCGGCCGGTGACACTGGGACGAGGACGGCAGGCCAAGTTACTGAAATTTATTTCCCGCCATCGGAGCCGCTCGCAACTACATGATCGGAGGAAACAAGACGGAGGAAAGAGCAGGGAGGGAGAGAGATGTCTCGTGTGGACAGGCAGACATACACGGATGCCTGCTTCCTACCTGACATTGACAGCAGGCAGGCAGGCAGGCAGGTAGGCAGGTAGGCAGGCAGGCAGGCAGGCAGGTAGGCAGGTAGGCAGGTAGGCAGGTAGGCAGGCAGGCAGGCAGGCAGGTAGGCAGGTAGGCAGGTAGGCAGTCGTTCAGTTAGGCAGGCAGGCGGGCAGGCGTCAATAGTCGGAAAAGGGACGAGAGGGATGCGCATGCTCGCACGGATGTGAAATGATTCATGAGATTCAAGCTACAAGAAAGTTGGTGCCCTGAAAGAAGAAGCGAGAAAAGAACGGATTTAGAATTGAGGAAGTCCCGATGGCGAGATGGTTAGATTACCTGCTGCAGGCAATTCGGCGCTGAAATCACAGAGCAGTGAAGGTTAGACATCAAGCAGGACATCAAGGTCAATCTAGAACGATAAGAGAACAGGTCCAGTTGTGTATGAGCAGGTCAACGTATCCTTGTTGATGAGTAGTCGCTTCCTCCGAAACCGGCTATCGATCTCATTCTTTGCTCTAGGTGGATCCGGGGCATGCTGCGGCAAGCCTCCATCAAGTCATTCTTCACGGCGAAGAGCGATTGTTCTCCATCTCCTCAGCCGGACTTGCATGCCAACAGCACGTTGAACGCCAGCCAGGCTGACGTCGCGCCATCGTCGAAATCGTCAGGATGCTCCCCGTCGCAGGTGAAGAAGTGTGCGACTCAATCCTCCCTTCTCTCCCCGACAGCAAGCCGACGCTCCCCCGACACGGCCTCATCGGAGGCCAAGACAGACAAAAAATCAAAGAAGTGCACCGACGCACTCATGGAACAGGGAACTTGTAAGCACCTCGAGCCCCTCCTGACAGAAGGAGAGCGCATCCCCCCCGCCATCGGATGCCTGGTCAAGGTTTTGTTCGATGAGGGCGACTGGTACCAAGGCAAAATCACCCGCTATGACAGAGCGTCACAGTTGTGGCACGTGCAATTCGAGGATGGCGACGAGGATGATGTAAGGATCCCTTCGGAAGATGTGATGGTCCTGCAGCAAGCGGAGGAGAACGCTGAACGTGACGTGCCGAAGACGAGGAGAAGCACCAGATCTTGCTCAACGAAAGCGATGAGGGTCGAGAAGAAGTACACGTTCGATCCCAGCAGCTCGGAATCGGAATCGGATGAAAAGGATAGGCAAACAAAGAGGAGGAGAATCAGGAGGGTGGTAGAGAGCGATAACTCAGAGGGTGAGGACAGATCCTATGAGGTCCCGCAAGCAAATAGCATGGAGGAAGAGGAGGATTCTTCGTCAGATGAAGAAACTGAAGCTCAGGATGTGAGAAGCAGCGAGGCGGCCGACGAGAGCATGGAGGTCGAAGACAGCCCGAAGAAAAAGCAACCGGTTGTCAACAAGAGCCAGACGAAAGGAAGCAGAACTTCCTCTGGTAGCGTTGGAAGTCTGAAATCTTTGATTCTCCCCGCCTCCAAAGCCTCGGGAAAAGAGAGGAGTGCTCCAACCGCTGGTAGCTCTCGAAGCAAGAAGCAGATTGATCTCTCTCCCTCCGAGGAAAGAAGGCTAGCTCGTGAAACAAAATTCGAAGCGATCAATCAGGAACGTTACAAATGGCTCGAGGATGTGAAAGATTCTAGTGGCAAGAGGCCTGGAGAGGACGGATACGACCCTCGGACCCTCTACATCCCAAGCTCGGCCTACTCCTCATTCACTCAATTCGAGAGACAGTTCTGGGACATCAAGAGGGAGAACTTTGATGTAGTGCTCTTCTTCAAGAAAGGGAAATTCTACGAGATGTTTGAGGGTGACGCCGACATTGGGCACAAGCACTTGCACCTCAAGCTTACAGATCGCGTGAAGATGCGCATGTGCGGCATACCTGAAGGACAGTTCTCCACCTACGCCACGCGCCTCGTGGCAAGAGGCTTCAAGGTAGGCAGAGTCGAGCAGATGGAGACGTTGAATGCGATGCAAAAGCGAGCGAAGAGCAATGGGGTGAAGCAAGGGTCTCTGGTCTGTGAGAGAGAGCTCTGTCAGATCCTCACTCAAGGCACTTTAGTCGATGAGAGCATGCTGAGCTCCCCGCAGGCAAACTACATGCTGACCGTAAGTGTCGAGAGCCAATCCAGCACTCACATGGGCATCTGCTTGCTCGAGGCTTCCACCGGATATTTTTACCTCGGCGAGGTTGAAGATGATGAGATGCGAACTCAATTCGAGACCGTCTTGCTGAAGGCGAAGCCAAAGGAAGTCGTCTACCCCAAGGGCTGTCTGAACAAAATCTGCCTTAACATGATCCGAAGACATCTCGACAATCCCATCCTGAACGCTTTGCAACCTGGTGAACAGTTCTGGGACCACCAGCGGACCGTCACTGAACTAGAGAACGGATCGTACTTCTCTTCTCCCACTGAGGATGTCGATTCTTCTCATGGAAACTCAAGCAAGGGGCTTCCTGAGCAGCTCAATCAGATGGTGTCGGAGAGAAAGGAGTCTGCATTGTCGGCTCTCGGAGGGGCAGTGTGCTACCTGCGCTCTCTGAAGCTGGACATGGAGCTCGTCTCCATGAAGAACTTCCGGCCCCTCCAGGAGTTCGATGGCTCCAGCAAGTCTTCTCTCATCATCGATGGGCAGACCCTGTGCAACCTCGAGGTCATCGAGAACTGCAGCGGAGGGACGGAGGGAACGCTGCTGAAGTTCTTGGATCGCTGCTCCACCGCCTTCGGGAAGCGGAAGTTCCGCAACTGGGTCTGCTCGCCACTGCAGGACGTCAGCGCCATCAACCTGCGGCTCGATGCTGCTGAGTTCTTCTCCTCTTCATCCGTGAGGAAGGAAATTCAGGCGAAGCTGAAGAAGCTGCCGGATGTGGAGAGGCACCTGTCGAGGGTGCACATGCATGGGACTGCACGGAAGCAAGGAGTCATGTTCGACGACACTTCCGCCCGCAAGCTCCGCCTCTTCCTCCAGCTGCTCGAATCCTTGGACGTCGTGTGCGAGATCGCTGAGCTTGTGCAGGGCCTCAAGGAGGACGGGGATGAGAGCGGGTCACGGGCTGCTCCCCGTCTGCCCCACGTCGACTTCCCGCAGGATCTCCGAGGGACATTGTCGAAGTTCAAGGGATCTTACGGCGATCTCCGCAAGGCGATGGAGGACGGGTTCATCACCCCCGAGAGTGGGGTCTATCAAGATTACGACAAGGCCATGGACCGACTGAAGGGGATCGAGAAATTCTTCGAGGACGAGCTGCTGGTTCGCCCCGTCTCACTTTATCTGGTTCCCTCTAACGGCAAGTCCCAGGGGTGGAAAAAGAAGCTCGGGGAGCCCTCGTTGAGATTCTGGCACCCGGCAGGTCTGTACGGCTGATGGATGTGGAGAGAGAGAGAGCGAGAGCGAGAGAGAAGGGACAACGCGCGATCATTCCCTGTCACTGCCATGCTCCTGCTTCCCGTTCCTTTGCCTGCTTCCTTCTTCCTGCTCCCTTCTTGCTGGAATCACCGCTCTGCGTCGCTCCTGACTGTTGCCGGAGCAGCGGGGCGAGAGCCGTACCAGATCGAATTCCCCTCCAGCTTCTTCGAGGAGAGGAACAAGAAGCTGTCCAATGACTTCGAGGTGAGCGAACGTGATGACGTCACGTGGGTCGCCAACCCCTTGGCAGTTGAAGTCGCAAACCAGCAAGGTGAAGAGATATTGGACGGACTCCATCAGAGAGAAGGTGAACCCTCGGAGTAGATGGACGGGCTATGGGGAGGAGAGGCAGAGGAGGAAGAGGAGGAAGAGGCAGGGGAAGTGACCATATGGTAGGTGTCGGAGCTCGTCGATGCCAGGGAGACCTTGGACGAGATAAGGTCGGGGATGTCGAGGAGGATGCAAGTATGACATCCTGCTGCGAGTGGTTCTGTCTCATGCTCTTTGCAGATTGACTTCGACTCAAACTACAACGTAGCCTCTCCTGCTCCCTCGCATTTCTCGTTTGCTTCCCTCCTTCCGTAACCCCTCGTTGATGTCCTTGATAGCGGACTGATCCTTCCCTGGCATCCTCATCCTCGTCCTCATCCTCATCCTCATCTTCATCCTCATTACGTCTTGGAGCAGGTGTGGTCTCAGGCGGTGGAAGCCTGCGCGCATCTGGACTGTCTGATCAGCCTGAGCTACACGTGCGAGGAGGAGGTGAGCTGCAGGCCGACGTTCTTGCCGGGGGATCAGGAGGAAGCACAAATCGAAGTATCCGCTCCTCCATCTCCACGTCTTCCTGATGGCTGCCGCAGCTGCGGGACTGTCGCCATCCGTGCATCAGCGCCATGGCGCGACAGACTTTCGTCCCCAACGATGTTGTGCTCGGAGCAGTAGCCTGCTCCGACGGATTCCAGAGGGCGTGTGTTGTGACGGGGCCGAACATGGGGGGGAAGTCGACGCTGCTTCGACAGACGTGCATCGCGGTCATCATGGCGCAGGTTCTGCCTCCTCTTGCCCTCCCTCCCCCTCCTGACCGTAGGGCAAAGATGGGAGCGTACGTGCCGGCTGCTTGCTGCAGGATGCGACCGGTCGACAGGATCTTCACGAGGATCGGAGCCAGCGATCGCATCATGGCGGGACAGTCGACGTTCATGGTCGAGCTGAGTGAAGTACGGAGAAGGAAGTTTCCTCTTGATGCCTGATGGGATTGGCAGACCTCTATCATCCTCCAGAACGCCACATCGAGGTGAGAGAGTAGCAAGAGGGAGGGAGGAGGAGGAGGAAAGAGAGAGGAGATGGTAAGGCAGGGACAGGAGAGTAGAAGAGCGGAGCAGAGAGCGGAACATGGCGGATGGGCGCAGAGGAGATGTTCTTGTGACCTGTTTGCTCTCTTGCAGGTCTCTCGTCATCCTTGACGAGCTCGGGAGAGGAACGAGCACCTTTGACGGCTACGCCATCGCCTACTCCGTCCTCTGCCACCTCGTCAAACAGTGAGGGAGCGAGGGCTCGCCCGCTCGTCTCAAGGCTAATGCAGGAACCGTCCTCTCCTGCTCTTCTCTACTCACTACAAGAGCATCACCGATGAGTTCCGAGCAAGCAAGGTGGGATGATCCTCCCTGTCTCCTGCCCCTCCTCCCCCTTAGCTCCTCGTTCTGCTCTTGTGAATCAATGGGACCGCACAGGACGTGAGTTTGTGTCACATGGATTGCTTGGTCGACGAAGGGAGCCAGACCGTCACCTTCCTCTACAAGTTCAAGAGGTGAGGACGAGACTTTCTCCCTTCCTCCTCCTTCTTCCTCACTTCTCTTCTTCGCAGGGGTGTCGCCAGTGACAGCTACGGGCTCCACTGTGCAAAAGCAGCAGGTCGAATCCCTTGGATCACAACCTCCTTCCTCCTCCGCTTCATGCCTGAGCTCTTTCCCTTGCCCCTGCCCCTCCTCCCTTAACTTTCCACCTTTTCCCTTTCGTCTCTTTCCGCTGTTTCCCTTTCCTTGTTCCAGCCCTCTCCTCCTCTCACGCTGCTCCTCCAGGTCTGCCGCAGGCAGTGATCGCTCGAGCTCAAGCCTGCAAGTCCAGCCTGGAGACCCGCGGGAGCCTTCGAGTCTCTTCCCCCTCTCCTGCTCGCCCAGCTGACGCCTGCGGCAGGGACTACGGCAGCTCTCCCTCTTCAAGTCGGTCATCGAGCTCGCGGACAACCAAGTAAGAGGAGAGGAGAGCGGCGGGAGGGAGGAGAGAAGTTTGGAGTATGCGAGTGAAGGGGAAGGGAGCGAAGCTGTGGTTCTCTGACATGGCTCCAACAGGAGCTGCCGCGACATCTCGACCTGGAGGAGCTTGTGGGAGACGTGAAGGAATCTCTTGGATAGTTCACTCCTCCCTCTCGCTCCCTCCTGTCCCTCTCTTGACCTCCTCGGCCAGCAGCACGCCAGTACCTGATGAGAACTTGAGCAGCAGACAGCTTGATCCCTCGACAGGATCGGGATGCCGAGAGGTGAAGGGGAGGGACAGGAGGGAGGCAGGAGGAAGGAGGCGGAGCTAGGAGGACAGGTGCATGCGGAGAGGCGGGTAGCTAGGAAAGGGTTTCCCACCTTCGAATTCTTTCTCGGTAAAAGCAGAAAAATCTTCGCCTTCTAACGTCATCAGCTGAAGAAGAGTCAGCCTCCCCCACCCTTCTCTCCCCGCTCCTTCTTTTCCCTCCTCCTCCAGTCTCCTACTTCTCTCCGCCACCTCCTCTACCTGTTCTCGCGTCCTCTTGGGCAGTTTGAGAAGTCTCTCAGCCTGGCGCATGCAGGCAATCTCCAGCAGGTTGCGCACAAACCTGGAGATCGCAGCTCAGCCATCGAGATTCAGCTGGGGGAGAGCTGGCACCTGGCGTTGCCGGACATGGGATCGTTGAGAGCAACTTGAGCATCGCAGAGGAGGACGAGGCGCCTCCTCGCCTCGTCGGAGAGTTGACACTGACGCGCCGCGAGCATTTTGCCGCGATCTCGACCAGTTCTGGACAACATGCGTGAGATCCACTGAGAGACGAGGGTAGCCTGACAGGAGGAGCAGGAGCAGGAGCAGGAGCAGGAGCAGG